GGAGAAACTAGAACTCTCATATGTTGCTGGTGGGAGTGTAAAATGATGCTTCACAGTGCAAAACAGTTTGGCAGTTTCTACAAGTGAAACGTACACTTACTGTAGAACCCACCTGTTCCACTTCTTGATGTTGGTTACCCAAGAGACACCAAAACATTTGTCCACATAAATACTGGTACATGAATGTTCAAGACAACTTTATTCCTCATAGCCAAAAAAGTGGAAACAACCCAAATGTCCATCAGTGGAGGAGTGGATAAACAAAATGTGATATATTCCATACAATGGAATAGTGCTCAGCAGTAGAAAGAAACGAATTACTGATACATGTGGATGAATCTCAAAAACATTGTGGCAAGTGAAATAGGCCAAACACAGAGAAGTACTCACTGTATGATCCCCTCTATATGAAATTCTAGAGCAAGCAGAACTAGGCTATCATGACACAACAACAATGCGCCCAGATCAGTGATTGCAGCGGGGGATGTGGGGGGTGGAGTTGACTGGGAAGAACAGTAGGGAACTTTCTGGGATGATGGAAGCGTTCTATATATTGACTGGGTGGTGGTTACACTGTGTTATGCAGTTGTCAAAACTCATTCAGCAGTGTACTTTAAATGGGTACATTGCATTGTCTGTAAATTAATTATACATCAATAAAGTTGATTTCACTGTGTATTTCTTAAACTAGCTAGTTGTCATTTCATTTTGTTAACTCGTTACCAGTATGGATGTCTTTGAAGTTTTGTATCTGAGATGGACTAGAACATATGCTCATCAATTTTTTTAAAGTTGCTAATCTTAAATTTAAGACCATAAAAAATTAGAAAATCATGTTTTACTTTTGTTTATTTTGAGTATTATGAAATAATATTTTTATTTGAAATTTGTGTAGAGTCAGGAGCAATAATGTACAGAGGGTTTAGCTTCTTATTTGGATTCATTGTTTCTGGGTGGGAGGTTTTAAGAGACGTCTTTTTATTTTCAGGCCCACAATTCCCATGATGATTGGACCCAGGGTAGCTGAGTGTGGTGTAAAATGTCCTGCTTTTCTGAGCTTCTCACAAGCTTTCTAGGATGAGTGCCAGGCTGAACAGTGCACTTGTACAAGAGTGCATAGTGACATTGCATGTCTTCGCTGCTACGCTAGGAAATGCTGTTTTTATTTCATGGTGAAAATATAAGTATAAAGAAAGACTGAGCTCCTGTCCTGTTCTTCATAGTTGAATTGATGGATAACCTGATTGCTTCCCTGTGAGATCTCATCTCAGTCGTCAGGATAGAGGCTCACTGAAAACAGGGAGAAATTGCATTTTACTTTTGTATTGCCTGCAGTGTCTAGGATTATATCTGGCGTATCAAGGGTAAGTGAATGGTCATGGTATTGTGGTATTGAACATGTATAGTCTTCAAAAAATACCAGTGCCCCTGACCCCTTCACAGCCTCCCTGTCAGTAGAGAAGCCCGGGTGCTGGTCCTCGTCACTCCTTACTCATGCGGGGCTCTTGAGCACGTCGTTTAGTTTCTTCATTTACAAAGCTCCATTGCCATTGCTACTTATAGCCTTTCCAGGCAGACAGGAATTAGGGGACATGGTCAGAAGGGAGGTGATAGGGGCCAGAGGAAATTTGGGTTAATGAGGTGTTGGGAAAGATCTGGAGAGGCAGTTAAAATGGTGAAGAGGACATAGACTCTTCATAGAATGACAGAACGAAAAGAAGTCTGGACTTTGAGTTTGAAAAGACGCTATCCACGTTGAAGTGTGATCGGGGTATTGTGGAAGGCTGAGGAAGTATTGAGTCACTTACAGATCCATTCAACAAACGTTGATCATTGATGGTTGGTCGGAGGCTGTGGCCAGGGCACTGGGCCAGGTGCTGTGGGCGCCAGATGAGGTAGGACCTGCGGCTGCTGAGGCCCAGTCTCTTGAATTCTCTCATAAGCTAGAGGCTCCCTGGTATAGGTTTTCTGTCAGGTAAATATTTTGTATATAAAAGTGTCATAAGTTAGAGGAATGAAGTCTCTTAATTTATCATCTCCAGATAAGTGATCATGAGGGCTGGGGATAAGAGGCCTCTGTTTTTCTCTGCTCTTGTGAGAGGTTTGGGGGGGTAGTTAGTTAGAGTTGGAGTTGGGTGGGCCATGCTTGTTGTGGAAAAACGGGTGATATCGGTAATAGGCTGGAGAGCGAACTGCGTTCATCGGAAACAGAAGTACTTTCCCTGGAACCCAGAGTTCAGGTAGAACATCAGCGTGAGAGGGGACCCTGAGCCCCGGGGCCCCAGGCGGCAGTCCCTGCTGGAAGGGCGTTGGAGCAGGCGGAAGGCTAGTGAGGTGTTTTCTTTTCTCTGCGCCCGCATTTGTAGAAGCCTGCTGGGCGGCTACTGAGAGAACTTTTTCCACTAATTTTACTAGTCGTGGAAGTGGCTTGTCCTCTCTGTGACCTGGAGTTGAACTCATCAGATAACACTACCATAATGAGGGACATCGATATGCCCAAGGGAACAGGGTTGATTTCTTCTTATTAGATGCAGTGAAAAGAAATAAGTGAAGAATTAGGTCATAGGTTTGTTTGAATAAATTGAGTTCATATGGAGAATTTAAAATTGTAAGTGGGGTTTAGTTTACATGGAGAGATTGCATAGTGATAGGCCTGTCATAAAAAGGAGCGAATTTATATTGAAGGTGTTTCTTTTTGCAAAATTTTCACATTGAACAATTAAGGGAATGTATATGAAAATGTAAAATGTTGCATATTTGTTGATTTAGAAGTTTATGGTGGCTTGTGTTTTTATAACCCATTTAAAATGCAATTAAAAATTACATAGGTGTGTTCACTTTGAAAGAATCCATTGAACTGCACGCTATAATTTATAGTTTTCTGTATGTAAGATCTACTTCAATAAAATTTTATTAAATTACAGTATTTATTAGCATATACATAAAATATAATACCTGAATGACTTGTGACAACATAGTAGTATATCTTAGTTCTGTAGCTTGAAATACCCATATGACACAACACTCACAAAGAGCTCTATCTTGTTCACAGGTATAAATATCAGAATACTGAACAGTTAAATTTCTCCTCTGTCCTCTTTTCATTGTTATTCTAAGCCATCGGTGGGGAGGGAATACCAAAGAGATTGTTTTTTGTTTTTTCTTTAAGTTGTAAAATCATGAAATTAATATAAATTGAAAGATTTGTTGAATGGACATAGTTTTTCTCTAGTCCAAAATATGTTTAAGAAATAAAAGTTCCGCAGGTTTCAAAAAATACCTTTTATTGTGGTGATTGGAAAAATCTCAGTAGTTGGAAATTAGGAGCCTTTTATTAGTGTTAAAGCAGAAATTTAGGGCATTTTGATGGTTTTGCCAGGTATTTTTTGGTAGAATAAACATTTCTTTTCAAATGGAAGTTTCTATAACTTGGAAATTTATAATATCTAGTTTTGAAAAGGGGCTTGCTCTATATTCCTTCCTTCCTGGAATGGGGGTTCCAGTTAAGACTGTTGAACAAATCCTGATTCCATTTTTCGAGTCAAGAATGTGCCCGACCACCGTAAGATTTGGGGAAGACTAGAGTCAGAGGAGCAGGGGTTGGAACCACTGTTAAGAGTTACAAGAGGGCATCAGGGTGGTGGAGCATAAGGGAGTTCTAAGAGTACAGATGGACCTGGAAGTAGAGAGTGGAGGGCTGAGGAGGGACTGTGGCCTCCGTGATTAGCACAGGAGGGGTTGGAGGAAGACAGACTTGGCTGGAATCAGCTCTGCTCCTTTTGTCAGCTCTGTCCCCTTAGGCGTGTCCCTTCACCTTGCCCCTGTGATTCCTCATCCAGTTTAGGGCTCGTTTACCCACCACACAGATTTTTTATGAAGGTTATGTGATACAGTGCATATAACACGCCTAGCATAGCAGTACGTGCACGTAGTGTGTGCTTAGTAAAGAGTGTGCTATACACGATGGTCAAGAACAAGGACTCTGCATCCTGCTCTGCCCCTTTGAACTGCCTGACCTGTGGTGGATTATCTGAACTGTGCTTGTTTTCTCATCTGTAGAATGGGGCTATAGTAGTACCTACCTAATAGTATCACTGTGAGGCTTAAATGAGTTCATCAGTGGAAAGTACTTAGTTCAGTGCAAGGCACATGATAAGCACAATAAAAAGGCTTGATGTTATTTTTTATCACCATTAACAGAGAATGGGGACATGCTTTTAAATTCCATCAGTTGCCACTCCTCTAGGTATTACCTTTTTGTATTTATTTCACATATATAATTCTTTGTCAATAATGGGTCAATCCTTGGTGTAGGCCATACATACAGTGTTTTTAATGATGTATTTGTATTTTAGAATCTTGTATATATTTCAGCTTCTCGAGACCAGGTGGCAGTGAGATGACATTTGTCCTTAGGTGTCGCCTGCACATTTATTTTTTAAGTTGTGTGTCTTTAAATATTTGACATCCTCCTTTACCGAAATACACCTATTAAATAGCCAGTTGAAAAAGGAATGTTACTTTCAATACACATTTGCAAAGATTTGCTTAAAATTGGGCCTCTTATTAAGTATAGTATCTGGTATATTAGAAAAACTTATTTAGGGCCGGCCCTGTGGCTTAGCGGTTAAGTGCGTGCGCTCAGCTGCTGGCGCCCCGGGTTCGGATCCTGGGTGCGCACCGACGCACGGCTTCTCGGGCCATGCTGAGGCCACGTCCCACATACAGCAACTAGAAGGATGTGCAGCTATGACATACAACTATCTACTGGGGCTTTGGGGGGAAAATAAAATAAAATAAAAAGTTAAAAAAAGAAAAACTTATTTATATTTAATAAAAGCAGTTAACAATTAGGAAAAGTTCTTATGAGAAAATAAACTAATTTGTATTCTCCTAACTTCTAGGAAACCTATTTAAGATCCTGTGTGTTCTGACACTAGAGAAAAATAATTATGTAGATAAACATACATTCCAGCTTGAGTGTGTTTTGTTCTCTGTAGGTTGGGAATCCACGTGTTGAACTTACCCTCTCAGAGCTCCAAGATATGGCAGCTAGGCAACAACAGCAAATTGAAAATCAGCAGCAAATGTTGGTTGCTAAGGTAAGTTATAAAAGCAGAGGTGGGGAAACGTTCAACAAGTGTATTCTTCAAGGGGCCAGCCCTATGGCGTAGTGGTTAAGTTCACAGGGTCTGCTTTGGCGGCCCGGGGTTTGCAGGTTCAGATCCCGGTGCAGACCTATACACTGCTTATCAAGCCATGCTGTGGCAGGCATCCCACATATAAAGTAGAGGAAGATGGGCGCAGATGTTAGTCCAGGGCCGATCTTCCTCAGCAAAAAGAGGAGGATTGGCAACAGACGTTAGCTCAGGGCTAATCTTCCTCACACACACAAAAAAAAGTATGTTCTTCAACCAGTATTTTAGATTGGGGTTAATACGTTCATGGTTAACACTTATGAGTAAGACTGTGCATTAAAGTGTGAAACACAGTGTCTTTCTCTGTTATCTCTCCTATAATCATAAGTGCAGACTGTAGCTTCTTGAAGTTTGGAAGGTATTAGAGCAAGAGCATCTGACCTTTGACATGCATTCACAGACACTCCAGAACAGGAAATGGTTGACCTTACACAATTGTAGATAAAATTTGGAAAGAAAGGTTGCTTTCCATTGTTGTCTCCTTTTGCCTCTGGGTGTGTTCTCAGCTGGTGTAGTTGGCAGTTAGTGTTCTGGAAGAAGCCAGCAATCCATGATGAAGACTCTGTCATGGGCCCTGAAGATAATGACAGTTGGTTATTGGGGCTTCCCTTTATGCCACTCTACAAGGAGCTTGTTTTGTTTATTACAGCATGGACCATAGTTAATGCTCATTATATACACTGAGTTCTACATTTGTTTTTGAAACTCTGTAACAGTAGGATTTGAAATTTTTCTAAATAATGGCTTAATCATGGACTAAAAAATCAGACCTATTACCTGGGCCTGCTGGAAATGATTCATGTTGTAATGATCTTAAATGTTCTGAAAGTGCTTTAAAAGAACATGTCAACATGACTGCCTCGGTGCTTACTGCTTTCACTGTAGAGAGATTTTCTTTTTTCGTTTTTTTTGTGAGGAAGATCAGCCCTGTGCTAACATCTGTCAATCCTCCTCTTTTTTTGCTGAGGAAGCCCAGCCCTGGGCTAACATCCATGCCCATCTTCCTCCACTTTATATGGGACGCTGACACAGCATTGCTTGCCAAGTGGTGTGTTGGTGCGTGCCCGGGATCGGAACTGGCGAACCCCGGGCTGCCGCAGCGCAGCACGCACACTTAACCACTTGCACCACCAGGCCGGCCCCGAGATTTTCTTAATAACCAAATGTCCAATCCAGCTTTTTTCATTTGTTAAATGACCATGTAATTCCTGGTACTGTCCACTTTTATGTAAATAATAGTTTAAGTTGGACTTGTTTTTAAAAGTTGTCTTACAAAGTTTATTGGATTTACAAGAATAAAAAACAAGTTATTTGGAAAGTATTTCATCCCATTAATAAGATTTCTAAGATGAAATGTATGAAGTATTGTGTAATTATAAAATCTTCTAATTCTTTTTATTTCTTTTCCAAATATTGATCCAAGAATATTGCTATTAAAAAAATTCTTAGATATTTTCAGCGGTGTAAATCACAAGTTAATGCTAATTTTTATGTATTTAAGCACATATTTCCTTACTGTAGATTGTAGTGTGTAATGCCTGCATAATCACACTGAAACCTCTCCTTATTTAGGTTTATTTATGCATATATATAGGACCATGAATATTTAATATTGACTGTTATCCTTAAGGTATATTTTCGCATTAATAGGGGAAAAAACTATCGAAGAGTATTGCATGTATTTTTACTTTAGGATTGTCCCGTTCTTGTTTGACTATAAAATGTTTCATTAGTTTGAAACTAATCCTGAAGAAAACAAACACTTCCTTGACTGTTCAATGTCACTTGGAAAATTAGAGGTTCATCTCCTTACTGATTACCTTATTTCTTTTCAATATAAAATCCTTTGCTGGTCAGTGCTCATTTCCTTTAGAAAGTTAAATAAGGGATCTTTGGAAGCTGCTTTGTAGCAGCAGGAAACCTGGTACTAACAGCAGGAAACAAGGCTGGCCGGGGCTTCACAGACAGGATGAAGATGAGATTGTGTGTTAATGCATGTGAAGTGCAGGCTTGATGTTCTCCTGCTGGAAGGTTTCCTGAGGGAGCATTTATATTAACTGAATGGTGTAGATCAGTGTGCATAGTAAAACCCACATTTTAAAATCCCCACTCTTGTGCCGGCCCGGTGGCGTAGTGGTTAAGTTCATGCACTCCACTCTGGCGGCCTGGGGTTTGCGGGTTTGGATCCCAGGCGCGGACCTATGCACTGCTTATCAAGCCATGCTGTGGCAGGTGTCCCACATATAAAGTAAAGGAAGATGGGCACGGATGTTAGCCCAGGGCCAATCTTCTTCAGCAAAAAGAGGAGGATTGGCAACAGACATTAGCACAGGGCTAATCTTCCTCACAAAAAAAATAAAAAATAAAATCCCCACTCTTATCATCTCACACCTTTGTATGCCCAATAATTTCAGTTTTGTATGGTCTGATGTGTGCAAGATTCCTCTAGCATTTCTTTAATATTCATTAAAATAGGTGATACTGTGGAATCCTCTCAAATTTTTTTTAGTGTATAAAAAGTAATCATGGGCTGGCCCCGTGGCTTAGCGGTTAAGTGCGCGTGCTCCGCTGCTGGCAGCCCGGGTTCAGAACCCCGGGTGAGCACCAACGCACCACTTCTCTGGCCGTGCTGAGGCCGCGTGCCACATACAGCAACTAGAAGGATGTGCAGCTATGACATACAAGTATCTACTGGGGCTTTGGGGGGAAAAAAATAAATAAATAAAATCTTTAAAAAAAAAAAAAGAAAACAAAAACAAGTGTTGTAAAAAAAAAGTAACCATACATTTCAATTTTCAAAGTTAGATATTTCCTTCTTTTGTTAGGAACAGCGATTACATTTTCTAAAGCAACAGGAGCGCCGCCAGCAGCAGTCTATTTCTGAAAATGAAAAGCTTCAGAAGTTGAAAGAACGAGTTGAAGCCCAGGAAAATAAGCTGAAGAAAATCCGTGCCATGAGAGGACAAGTAGACTACAGCAAAATTATGAATGGCAATCTGTGTATGTGCCCGCAGTCCCGCTCGGCATCCACACACAGCAGTTGTAGATACAGTGAAACAGAGCCCAGCTTCTGGACACTTTTAGTCACAAACGAAAGTGCACTGAAGCTTTGCTCTATTATCTCCATCTAAAAGGATGGGGCAGGGCCGGCCCCGTGGCTTAGCGGTTAAGTGCGCGCGCTCCGCTGCTGGCGGCCCGGGTTTGGATCCCGGGCGTGCACCGACGCACCGCTTCTCCGGCCACGCTGAGGCCGTGTCCCACATACAGCAACTAGAAGGATGTGCAACTATGACATACAACTATCTACTGGGGCTTTGGGGGAAAAAAAATTAATAAATTTAAAAAAAAAAAAAGGATGGGGCAGGTTAGGTTAAGTGATCTTGGAAGATCTCTTGCAGCCTCGCAATGCACAGCAGCTCATTGGATTGGGGCTGGGATGCTCCAAGACTCAGCTCATTATGAGGGTCTCTTTTAATTGAACAGCTTAAGTTTATATGTGTATTAAGATAAACCACACAGATGCTCACTTTTTATTTCTCTGTGTGTGGATTCTTTGTTATTTTATTACTCACTTCAGTTAGTGCCTACTTTATGTTACAGTGATAAGCAAGACAGACTTGGATGGTCCTGCCCTTACAAAGCTTTTGGTCTGTCAGTGCACTGAGATTCCTCAGTGGCTTGACCAAGCTAGCTTTTGGACTGATTACCCTAATTAAAGAATATTCAGGGCTGGCCCCATGGCTTAGCGGTTAGGTGAGCGCGCTCCGCTGCTGGCGACCCGGGTTTGGATCCCGGGCGCGCACCGACGCACTGCTTCTCCGGCCATGCTGAGGCCGCGTCCCACATACAGCAACTAGAAGGACGTGCAACTATGACATACAACTATCTACTGGGGCTTTGGGGGAAATAAATAAATAAATAAAATTATTAAAAAAAAAAGATTCAATAATTAGTGCAATATTTGCACTAATTATTGTTGTTTGTCATGTGAACAGTCACATCATATGTTCCAAAGGCTTGTTAAAGTGTGTGTTGGATGATACACATCACACTGTTCTCTCCAAGGTCTGGCAGTAGATGATGCTATAGTTAAATGTATAGAAATGAAGAAGAAATCACAAAACAAAAATAACAAAATACCATGAAAAAAGAATATCAACTAAGTGATATTTTTTCTTTTGGTGGGAAATTATAGCTGCTGAAATAGAAAGGTTCAGTGCCATGTTCCAGGAAAAGAAGCAGGAAGTACAGACTGCAATTTTAAGAGTTGATCAGCTCAGTCAGCAATTGGAAGATTTAAAGAAAGGAAAACTGAATGGGTTCCAGTCTTACAATGGCAAGCTGACAGGACCAGCAGCAGTGGAGTTAAAAAGACTATACCAAGAGCTACAGGTAACTCGCCGGGTCTCGGGAATGGTTATATTAAGCCATGCTCATCTCTCAGGCTTTTTTCCAGCGTAGAAACCTGGAAAACCTGGAAACCTCAGGAACTGGGAACCTGGGGGCTGGAAACCTCAGGAACTGGAAACAAATTAATGGATTCTGATTTAATAGTAGGCATAAAATGTATTCAGTACAAAAGAATTTTTAAAACAGCTTTGAGATATAATTCACATAGCATACAATTCACCCATTTAAACTGTACAATTAAGTGGTTTTTAGTATCTTCACAGAGTTCTGCATCCATTACCACAGTTTTAGAACATCTTCATCACCCCCAAAAGAAACCGTGTACCCCTTAGCCGTCACTCCACGACCGGTTATGCTCCCAGCCCTAAGCAACCACGCATCTACTTTGTCTCTATGAACTTGCCCGTTGTGGAAATTTCATATGAACGGAATCATGTAATATGTGGTTCTTTGTCACTGGCTTCTTTCACTTAGCCTGTTTTCGGTACAGAATTTAATTGACACTGTAGTGAACTAGTAAAGAATTAAGCTTTAGATGATATTTAAGGTCTTTGTGGAAACTGTTTTGACAAGATAGAGCCCTATGGTTAATACTTGTCTGAGTCAGCTTGAGCTGCTATAACAGTACCAGAGACTGGGAGCCTTAAACAACAGGCATTTATGTCTCACAGTTCTGGAAGCTGGAAGCCCAAGATCTAGGTGCTGGCAGGTTTGTTTCATGGTAAGGGTCTGCTTCCTGGCTGGTAGATGACTGCCTTCTTGCTGTGTCCTCACAGCTCAGGTCTCTCTTCCTCCTCTTATAGGGCACTAACCCCATCATGCGAGCCCTGGCTTCTTGACCTCCCAAAGGCGCCGTCTCCAAATACCATCACATTGAGGGTCAGGGCTTCCACATATGAATTTTGGGAGGACACAAACATTCAGTCCATAACAATCCTCAAGATTTCCATTTCTCAGAAGTTGTCATTCAGCAGATGATTTTTCAAGCCAGAAACAAGTTTTGCAATTCTCTTGGCACTTGCTAGAAAAAGTATTACATCATTTTTTTCTTTTTGCAATAGAAAATCACTTTTTTTATTGATGTCATAATATTTTATAACATTGTGAGATTCCAGTTGTATATTACATCATTTTTTGAAATGAGAACATTTAATTACAGAGAGTAAAATCATTTTTGTTGCTGTTAAGTTCTCTAACATAAATGCATAAAATTAAAATATAAGAATTTATGACTTCTTTACATTTTGAGCAATTGTTAAAAGTGCAGGGTTTTTAAGGATTTTTTTGGTGAGGTGTGGTAAATATAGTATATTTATTTCCAACTTTTTTGACTGCAATCCAGGTTAAAAAGTACATGTTACCTCCTGTCAAGTACACACATGCGAGTGTATATGTACTAGCACATGTATGCATCTGAAAGAGTTTAACAAGATAAGATTGAACCTTCTGTATGCAGTGCACTCTGGATGTTTTCTGTTCTCTATTTCATTTTTTTTTAACGTGCTGGTTGTGAGTCACTAAAATGATATACAAATGTTCTAGTTGGCGATTTAGGCCATCTTTTGTGAATTTCCTGCTACCTCCACAGTAAGGTTCCTCATTCAGTGGACTGTGGGGCAGAGCAGACGCCTCTCCTTAGGTCCCTGGAGGACATGTTCAGGGCCTAACTAAATGCCATTCCCGAGGACTATGGTCGTTATTGGTACCATTTGTTCTGTACACTTTGAGGAAGACACATTTTTGCAGATATTTGCTCTTTTTTTCTTCCATAAGAAATCTGTTCTGGGCCGGCCCTGTGGCTTGGTGGTTAAGTGCGCGCGCTGCAATACTGGTGGCCCAGGGTTCGGATCCCGGGTGCGCATTGAGGCACCACTTCTCCGTCCATCCTGAGGCCGAGTCCCACATACAGCAACTAGAAGGATGTGCAGCTATGACATACAACTATCTACTGGGGCTTTGGGGGGAAAAAATAAAATAAATAAAATCTTTAAAAAAAAAAAAAGAGAGAAATCTGTTCTGGCTTGAGGCAGCCCTGATGGCCTAGTGGTTAAAGTTCGACATGCTCCACTTCGGCAGCCCAGATTTGGTTTCCAGGTGCAGAACCACACCGCTCATCTGTCAGCAGCCGTACTGTGGCGGGGGCTCACTGGAAGAGCTTACAGCTGTACACAACTCTGTGCTGTGGCGGGGAAGGAAGAAAAAGGGAGGAAGTTGGCAACAGATGCTAGCTTAGGGCGAATCTTCCCCTGCAAAAAGAAACATTAAAAAAAGAGAGCAATCTATTCTGGCTTCATCTGTGCTGTGCCTGTACAACATTTAGCATACAGGAGACAATGCATATATGTAAATACACGTAAAAACTTAATGTTGCTTCTTTTTTTTAATCTCCTTGGCAATGAGAACGCAAATCATAAAAGTTGTATTTTCTGTTTTGCAGATTCGTAACCAGCTTAACCAGGAACAGAATTCAAAACTCCAGCAGCAGAAGGAACTCTTAAATAAGCGTAACATGGAGGTGGCTATGATGGACAAGCGAATCAATGAACTACGTGAACGTCTTTATGGGAAAAAAATTCAGGCATGTGAAAAAGAAAATATTTCTGTGAGATAAACTACTAAAAATGGCTCAACCCACAATCGCACATCTTCACTATAATGGCATTTTGCTCCCCTCCTCCACCACAGCTGTTAAAACATAAATTGGCCATAAACCATAAAAAACAACAGTAGAAGAAAGTTCTCTTTCCCAAAGATGGGTTTGTTTCCTGGTGTGTGGCATCAGGAGCATCCCTGTCTGCAGCCATGGCTGCTGTGTCCCCCTCCTCTGCTCTTCTGTCCGGCTGTCTCCCCTGCACTTGAGGGTGCTGTGGCTCTGGAGCTGCAGCGCCTGGGCTTGCTCCCACTCTGCATTTTAAGCTGTGCCATGTGGGCAAATCCTCCTGTCCTTGCTGTAGACTGATTGGTCCTACCTGCCCTGGGAATCATTATGAGGATTCTTAGAAATAACCCATGAGGAAGGGCCTTGTAAACTCTTGAGCAAAGTGCTCTATAAGAGGTTAGTGCTTTTAAAAAATCTTTATTTGGCATTTGAATTCCAAAGGTAATAAATACCCATTGAAAAAAACAGTACAGGGGCCGGCCCTGTGGCTTAGCGGTTAAGTGCGTGCGCTCCGCTGCTGGCGGCCCGGGTTCGGATCCCGGGTGCGCACCGACGCACCGCTTCTCCAGCCATGCTGAGGCCGTGTCCCACATACAGCAACGAGAAGGATGTGCAACTATGACATACAACTATCTACTGGGGCTTTGGGGGAAAAAATAAATAAATAAAATCTTTAAGAAAAAAAAAGAAAAAAACAGTACAGAAATATTTAAAGGAAAACATGACAGTCCTTTCCCCCTGTTCTCATTCTCCAGGGGTGATAGTTGTTAATGGTTCCAGTCTTTTGCTTAATACAGCTAGACAGGTATTTAATTTGTAATCGAAAGTGGAATTGTAGGAATTATTCACACTGTTCTGCACCTAGTCTTTTTTTTTTTAAACTGCAATGTGGGTATCTTTCTAGATGATTACCTCATTCCTTTTGTAACTTGTGTATAATACTCATGTCCCAGGGGCTGTGGTCACTTGACCCAGCCCTGTTGTCAGGCAGGGTGTTCCCGAGTCTTGCTGTCAGTCCTGGAGCTTCAGTGAGCGCATGCATCACCGAGAGCTTGTGGGGGGACATGCAGCTTCTGTACGCTTTGTCTTTGGCTGTATGTGGCACTTGACCTTTCTTCAACTTGTGGTGCTCAGGGTTCGAGGGAAGCAGAGCCTGAGTGAAGAGCTGATGGGCACTCTGCCCTCGGGAGTAGAGAATGGAGCAGGCAGCCCACTAACTGGGCTCGTGCTTCCCGAGTCCCCTTATCTGCACTCAGTAATTGGTGCTTTCACGGCTTGATAAGTGCTCTCTTGTCAGTTCCTGCTGCTCTGAAGGTAGCTCTCAGGTGGTGCTGTGGGCTTTGGGGGCTTTGCCTGTTTGGGATGGGTTAGGATGCTAGAGGAAGAAGGGAACTGCCACTTCTTTGGGTGTCATAATCAGTGGTCTCAGGTTATAAGTCTGTTATTAACAAATCTACATTTTTTTTTTAACCAGAGAGCTTAAAGGTCATTAGTTAGTCTGTATAACTCTGTGATTTCAGATAATGGTTTTCTTTTTCTCTCAGTTAACAACACAGACACTGTGGGGGAGGAAGCATACACATTCTCCATGCTTACTTACATTACATTCTTTAGTAATGATGTATTAGTCAGGGTTCTCCAGAGAAACAGAACCAATAGGCTGTGTGTAGAGAGATTGATTGGTTGATATTAAGGAGTTGGTTCACACAGTTGTGGAGGTTGGCACATCCGATATCTGCAGAGCAAGCCTGCAGCCTGAAGACCCAGGGAATTATTGATGTTGCAGCTTGAGTTTGAAGGCAGTCTGCAGGCAGAATTCCCAGTTCCTCGGAGGAACTTGGTCTTTTTCTTGTAAGGCCTACAACTGATTATATGCGGCCCACCCATATTATGAAGGGCAATCTGCTTTACGGAAAGTCTCTTGATTTAAATGTTAGTGTCATGGGCTGGCCCCGTGGCTTAGCGGTTAAGTGCGCATGCTCCGCTGCTGGCGGCCCGGGTTCAGATCCCGGGCGCGCACCGACGCACCGCTTCTCTGGCCATGCTGGGGCCGGGTCCCACATACAGCAACTAGAAGCATGTGCAGCTATGTCGTACAACTATCTACTGGGGCTTTGGGGGGAAAATAATTATAAATGTTAATGTCATCTAAAAGATACCTTCACAGCAACATCTAGACGTGTTTGACCAATATCTGGGTACCACGGCCTAGCCAAGTTGACACATAAAATTAACCATCACAAATGGCTAGATAAATGTTACTTCTTACATTCCACCTGATACTTCAAGGGATCTCCTTGAAGCAGTTGGCGTTTCTGCAAAGATGTGTCTCCACCTAAAGGTCGTAGGCACCTTTGAGCAATTATCAAAGACATAGACCCTGTCCACAAAATGATACATGCTCATACATGCAAAATTTGGCAAACAATTCTAGGGAGTTATGGATCTCGCAGTTACAGCCTATGTGGGGACCCCTAAGGAGAGTTAGTTAGATCTTCTCTAGTTAGATCTCTATTATGGACCATTTTCTTGTTGGGCAGCGTCACATGACTAGTGTCATTGGCAGTGGCGTGGTGTCCTTGCTAAGAATGGCAGAGCTACCTTCAAGGAACTGGTCAGAGCCTTGCCTGGTTCCAGGCCCTGTCACTGTGCCCTGCATGACTTGTTCAGTGCTTACAACAACACTTATCCTGACTTTACAGACATGATCATAGAGTTCAGAGAGGTCAAGTCACTTGCCCAGGCAGCACAGAGCAGGATTTGAAGCCAGGCTCGGAGCCCAGGCTTTGACTGATGCCTCTGCCCGCCCAGGGGAGGGAGAGCATCCCTCAGGCAAGAAGGTTTTATGGAGGTGTCTTGGGAAGCTGTTCTGTCATATCATCAGCTCCTGGTTTTCATAGCTCACGAAGAGGTGGGTGTTATCAGAGTGAATCTCACATGGAACTGTGGGTTGAGGCCCTTCTTTGAAGTCTCACCCTTTCTAGATACTGATCTTTCAGGGTGATGGAACTTCCTAAGTACAAATTATTGAGTGAGTGGTTCAACTCTGGGCAGTCTGTCACACTACACTTACAATTTTTTTTTTTTAATTTAGGAGAAGCTTAACTGTCATTTCTCCCCATTTTGTAGCTGAGCCGTGTGAATGGCACGTCGTCGCCGCAGTCACCTCTGAGCACACCTGGCAGGGTTGCTGCAGTGGGGCCGTACATCCAGGTTCCCAGCGCCAGCAGCTATTCTGTTCCGGGGGACCCTGTGAAGCCCCAGTCTCTCACTGTTGCCCCAAGTGCTGCCCATGGAAGATCCAAATCCGGTGAGTGGCCCCGGCCCTCTTCTTGGGGGAGTGAGTGAGCAGGGAGGGGCCGTGGGGACTGCGACCTCGGAGGAGGCCCCATGTTACTCCCCAGGCTCCGCCCACCCTCAGTGTCCCGGGAGGTGTTTTGTTTTCTAGGGCAGCGTTTGGACGCTGTGTGCCACCACAGTAATGACAGTCCTACAACGAGCATGGATTCTCTGTATTGAACCGAATGACTTCACTATGCGGCTTTTCAAAACACAAATTAGTTAAGGCCTCATCCTCTCGTGCCACAGGTTGTTTACCTGTGGACACCTCCCTGTGGTGCAGGGGCTGCCTCCCCATAAACAGAGCACTGGGGCTGGTCTTTCCTGTCCGTGTCAGCATGGTCTTCATCAAAAAGTCCACAAACCATCACTTTGGCCCTTGGCCACATTGAATCGTGTGGTATGACCAAACTCAGGTCTCCTGGCACCGTGCTGGCGAGCAGCTCACCTGAGGAAGATGGGGTGTCCTGTGGAGTCCCTGGCTTCCCAGCCAAGTACAGCCGGGTTCTCCATGGGGAGTCCACTCTCCTTCCTCAGAGGATGACGGCTAGTTTTTAAACTGATGCGTTAAAAGCCAAGGCTTCTTGGGGTCAGCCCGGTGGCGTGGTGGTTCAGTTCAGTGTGCTCCACTTCGGGACCCGGCGTTCACGGGTTTGGATCCTGGGAGTGGAGCTACACCACTTGTCAGTCGTGCTGTGGCGGCGTCCCACATACAAAATAAAGGAAGATTGGCACAGATGTTAGCTCAGGGACAATCTTCCTCAGCAAAAACAAAAAACAAAACAAAACAAGGGCTTCTGTGCAGTAAGACTCTCTTTATGACTGGGACTAAAACATTTCCCTGTAATACACAGGATCGTGGAGTTGAGGGACTAACAGTGCAGCATCCCTTCATTTAGGACCACAGTACTGCTGACCGTCCTGTGTCAGGCCTGTGTTCTGAGGACTTCCGTCAGGATTGGTGGTAGATTTGTGTGGTCTTTTGTTTGTTTGCTTCATGTTCTCTTGCCTGGCACCTAGTCTGAGGAGCGACACCTCTGCTGCTCCTGCTGCAGGGCTCAGGGCTTGTTCTGACCCAGCCTGGAGAGGCCATCACCAGCCCTTGTGGGCCACACCCCCCAGCTCAGATCTCTTCACGACCATGTCTCAGCAGCCACACGGAGTGTGTGGTCGGCATAACCTCTAATTGCAGCTTTCTTTGATAAGCTGTTATTTATAGTTTGAACCACTCCTGTGGTAGGAGTAGATATTCGTCTGTTTCCAATGGTGGATAATTAGCACAGCCAACTACTTCTCTGCTGACTTCATTTTAAACACTTGCTAAGCCAAGAACATCTCCCATTTTCCCTCTTCTCTGTGGTGTGTGCTAGGCCACCTCACAGGGGTTGCAAGGAAAGGACACCCTTAAAGGACCCAGAGAATGTGTCCTTCAGAAGTTCAGCACTAGCTTTGGTCTTCCCACTGAGGTGTAAGGTGACTGGACACAGGAAACCTGGGTCACCCCACACTGGGGGCAGAACCTGAGCTTGGACGTGGAGCTGGGGTGAGAAATCTCCCCGGTGGGGCTCTAACCTGCACTGTCGGCTGTCCTTCTGGTTCCATGTCACACAGATGGCCGTGGTAAACCCAGAGTGACCAGCTCGTGGACAGTGTCAGACCTCGACGTCGGGCCTGACTGTGGCTCCTCACGGCACTCTGCAACCCTGTTTGCAAACCGTATGTCGGCTGGCAGGCCTAGCGGGAAGTGATGATCCTCTCTAATCTTCCTAAATCAACAATCATTTGTTTTTCCAAACTGACAAAGGCCTGCTCATTGCATCTAGACTTGAAAAAGATGCCACGTAAACAAAATTTGTCCCTTTCTTCAACAGACAGGTGTGAAGTTTGGGCTGGGCCTCACACCAGATCATCCTCAGGAAGGGTGTGAAAGATGCTGGCACAGCAAGGGTTTTTGGTTTTGTTTTTAAGAAATTAAGATGATTTTCTGAGTTCAAAAACTAAAAGTTATGAGGCTTTTAGTTTTATCTCCAGTATAAGAAATCTCCCATCATATTTGAAGATAATTGTCCCTTTATAATCCAAATAAATGCTCTTGTCTACCTCCTGCCTCATCCTAAAGGAACAAAATTCCTTGTCCCTTCTCAGTCCCTTTGTGGCTGAATTCTGTAAAACCTCCCATTGCCATAGGATTTCAGAAGCAGCTCAATGGCCACATTCCTCGTGACCCCAAACGGGGAAATCGGCTCCTGTGGCCAGTCGTGCCCTCCCCGCTGAGTCTGCAGTGGGCTCTGTTTCCCCATCAGCCCAGAGTTTTCACCTCAGTGCATCCTTGGTGAACCTGTGTGTTTCTGGCCCATGCATCCCCAGGCTAAGATATAACCCAGGAGGCGTGAAGGCACACGTACTTCTGTCCTAGAAGAGGCTGGCAGGCCACGGGAGCAAGGTGGCGGTTAGGGCCGGAGGCTTGGGATGCCTCAGCAGGCCCTTGCAGCTTAGCTAGAACCATCCTGGAGCCCTGCTGCCTGGAGCAACTTGTACAGTATAGTAACTCAGCAGTGTAGCGGTGGGTGCGGCTGGGCTCATAGTGCTGCTGCAGCGATGGATGTGGCCAGGAGCGAGCTGTGTGCAGCTGCTGCCAACACGGCCAGCCAGGGCACGCAGAGGCTCTGCCCATCCTTGCTGCACACGATGGCGCTGCCTGTGGTTGTGCTCTGAGCATATTCAAGAGTTCCCTCTTCCTGTGTTATGAGTTGCAGGTTTGGGCTCAGGCACTGTTGTGAGGAAGAGTGACTTCCCTGTCACCTCTCAGGGATGAAGGACCGGGATGTGCTGTTCTTGTCAGGAGGGCCCAAAACAGTCCCCCCGGATTTCTTTCCGACCCATATGGCTGATAGCTGGGGTACTTACCACTTCAGTGCAGTTCAGCCCAGCATCTGTGCCTATGAAGGGGAGAGACAGGAGTCTGAGTCAGGGCTTATAATCTGACCCTACAGATGCTGTAACATGTTTACGTCACTGTGAGTGAGCCTGTGTTACCAGGGAATGCCTCTGCACCCTTTTTCAGTTTGGAAAATGCTCTGTAAAAAATACATCTTTTCAGTGGCTTTTCTGAAAATGCAGGGTTGACTGGCTTTCTAATCACTGCAGCAGAATGGTGGCCTGCGACTCCAGTCAGTGGAAGCTTGTGCTGGCCTCCTGTGATCATGAGTTATGTTAGAGGATAGAAATTTCTAACAAATTAAAGTCGAGTTTCCTTTTAATACTGGAAGCAGTACAGGTCAAACCTGTTATGAAGTCAAAAGATAAATCTTTTTTTATTGTTGTATGTAATTTCTAAACAGTGTTTAAAATGTAAGTGCCAGTGCTGATTTTATTCCCTGGTGTTGATGTAATGGATTTGACCTGTACTGAAATGGGGGCCTGAGAATGTTTCTACAATCCTCTGGCCCCTCGCCCAGCTTGGAGCAGCCCTCTGCTTGGTCATCCAGTCTGTCCCCGGAAAGCGATGTGGGCACTGGCTGTGCCTCGCCAGCAGAGGCCGCCCTGGGTCTTGCTGTGCATGATCCGGTGTGTGGGGAGGGTCGGGGTCGGCCGCCTGGTTAGTGGAGCTCCATCAGAATGTGATGTCTCAGAAGGTGATTTTTCTTTCTGGCAGGGGGATTTTCTTATCTTGGTTCAACGAATTTCAAGAAAAATTTTACTTAAATTCTATGTTCTTTTCAAGCCAACGATGGAAACTGGCCAACATTAAAACAAAATTCTAGCTCTTCAGTGAAACCAGCGCAGATGCCCAGTGTGGACTGGAAGGACTCAAGCGTGGAGGGGCCTCTCAAGCAGGGGACGGTCTCAAGCCAGCCTGTGCCTTTGTCGGCTTTAGGAGCCACAGAGAAGCTGGTAGGCCATTTGTTTTTATCACAAAACACAAACAAGCTCCTAACTACCCCACTGTTCAGCCTTCGTCTTCATCTAGGAGGTAGGAGGTGTCATGGGGCAAATTAATCCTGTCCGTGTCCAAATTATACCCGAGTGTGAAGGAGTTCATGGACCCTAAGCACCTGAGCAGTCTGCAAATGTAAACACCTTTTGGTCAGGATTGTTCTGTGGCAGACAAGCTACAAGCAGTGCCGTGTTTGATCCCCGCTGTGTGCCCTGTGCCTGGTCACAAGCCGATTTGAAGGATTACAAGTCCTACTTTGTATTCTCTTGTGACTGTGGATGGAAGTATGCTTAGCTTCTCAAAGGGTGACTTTGTTTTTCTTCTTAACATCTCAATTTAGGGCATCGAGATTGGTAAAGTGCCACCCCCTATCCCTGGTGTCGGCAAGCCACCGCCTCCGAGCTATGGGACGTACCCAAGTCCTGCTCCCGTGGGCCCAGGGTCGACAAATTCCCTGGAGAGGAGAAAGGAGGGCAGCTTGCCCAGGCCCAGCGCAGGCCTGCCCAGTCGGCAGAAACCTGCACCGCTGCCCACTGCAGGCAGCACCCACCAGCCAGGTTCCTCGCAGCAGATTCAGCAGAGGATTTCTGTGCCGCCAAGTCCCACGTACCCATCAGTGGGGCCACCTGCATTTCCAGCTGGGGATGGCAAACCTGAACTCCCCCTGACTGTGGCCATTAGGCCCTTTCTGGCTGATAAAGGGTCAAGGCCACAGTCCCCCAGGAAAGGACCCCAGACAGTGAATTCAAGTTCCATATACTCCATGTATCTCCAGCAAGCCACACCACCTAAGAATTACCAGCCAGCGGTGCACAGCACTTTAAATAAGTCGGTTAAAGCAGGTACAGCGGGTTTGTACTCTTCTTCTCTTGGTGCTAGGAAATTATACTTAAGAAAATGCCAGTTCATAGCCTTATGTTTGGGCCACATGCTGTTTAGGATTAAACTTGATTCTTACATAAAGTGTGGCCTTAGGTGTCCCTGTAGGGTGGGGGTAAGAGGTGAAATGTATAGAGCAGTTCTGCAGGTGGATCACAGCTCTCTGAGTTCCTGTCTGGGTACCCGCCTCCCTGCATTACTCAGGAAATCCAGCCTCCCGGAAGGGTGAGATTTGGGAATTTCCTCTTTTTCTCCTGCTTCATGGTAGTTTGTGCAGGAGCTATTCAGGGAGCTGGCATGCGGGGGGCTCTGCATGGACCTGATACCCCCGGCTTCCTGGCAGTGGATGAGCCAGACCCCTGGGTGGGGCGACTTGAGGGGGGTGTCTGCTGCTTTGGGAACCTCCCTCAGATCCCATGGAGGAGAAGAGCCTTGATTTGGGTGAGGGGAAGTCAGCCCTGAGGGCCAAAGTGTTCTAGGAAGGTAGGTGAGAGAACAGAGCCTCGTTCCACGCATACTGAGGCCGAGGGCGATTCTGACCATGCCATATGTGCATCACGTCTGGGCTGGGGCCTCCTCAGACATTTTTGGGCATGGGCCAAAGCTTCCAGATTCATGGTCCAGGGATTCCTGGGAGTGCCTGATCACCCCATGCCCAGGGACCTCCCAGGTGGAGGTGCCAGTGCTGACCTGTGGGCAGGGCTCTGGCCTTTCCTCTGCTAGGAAAGGCTTGCATTCTCTGGAGCTCCCAGACCACCAGGGAAAACCTTCCTGTCTGAGGTGGCCTGTGTTTTATCCTGTTCGACTCAGTCTGAGGGTCAGATGCGTGTTTAGAAGTGACATCTTTCTCCTTGGCCAGAAAACAAGGAGGACTTGTTTGGGACAGGGGAGTCAGGTCTGCTGCCTTTTTTTTTTCCTTCATTTGAAAAGGCCCCATTTCTGGAAACCCAGATGTAAAAACTGATAAATTAGAGAGACACTCCACCTCCCAAAGTAGTCGATGGGGTTCTTTGAATAGAGGGTTCCTTGGGGATTTAAAATTAGTATTTACCAACAACCACAGCAGATTCACAGTCTCCGTAGGAGCCCATGTCTTATGTAATCAAAAGTGCTTGGTGACTAGAACCCATGCCCTGCAGGATGCTGAAGTTGCCCCTGTGCTCTGTGTCTCCTCTAGTGTACGGTAAACCTGTTTTACCATCCGGTTCAACGTCCCCCTCCCCATTACCGTTTCTTCATGGGTCGCTGGCCACAAGCACGTCGCAGCCCCAGCCACCTTCAGAAAGTGCTGAGAAAGAGCCAGAGCAGGACAGCCCTGCCCCACCTGGAGATGGCACGGGCACTGTGGAGAGCCTGCCGCGGCCGCTCAGCCCCACCAAGCTCACACCCATCGTGCACTCGCCACTGCGCTACCAGAGCGACGCCGATCTGGAGGCCCTGCGCAGGAAGCTGGCCAACGCGCCCCGGCCCCTGAAGAAGCGCAGCTCCATCACGGAGCCCGAGGGCCCTGGCGGGCCCAACATCCAGAAGCTGCTATACCAGCGCTTCAACACTCTGGCTGGGGGCATGGAGGGCACCCCTTTCTACCAGCCCAGCCCCTCACAGGACTTCATGGGCACCCTAGCCGATGTGGACAATGGAAATACCAACACCAATGGGAACCTGGGAGAGACCAGCCCCGCCCAGCCCACAGCCCCGCTCCCCACCGAGCCTGCCCCATCCTCAGACGCCAACGACAACGAGCTCCCTTCTCCTGACCCAGAGGGGCTCATCTGTCCCCCAACCACCCACCAAACAGCTGAGCCTGCCGAGGACGACAACAACAACATAGCCACAGCCCTGTCCACAGAGCAGGTCCCCAGCCCTGGGGCCGAGGCCCCCTCTCCAGGGGAAGAGCAAGTCCCTCTCCCACTTCCCCCTGCCGTGCTCCCGCCAGCAGCCTCTACGGTGGGTGTCGTCCTATACCAGGGCCACGGCTTCCTAGTCGTGCAGCCGGTGCTTATTAGCCGTGGGGCTGGCGGGAAAGGGGGTCCTGGCTGGGGGGTGCTCACCAAATCCTGTCCCTGCCCTCACTGAGTCAGGCCCAGGCAGAGGACAGTCATGTCAGCACAGGGACCGGGCCCTGAAGGAGAAGTGCACGAAGCTGCAGAGCTCTTAGTGGAGGACCCAGTCAGGGAGGCCAGAGAAGATTTCCCTGAGCAAGGGGAGCTGCAACTGCAATCTGAAGGGAAGGCACTAAGGGGGAGAAGAACCTTCCAGACAGAGCCCTCTGGTAGGAGGTCAATGTTGATAGAGCAGAGAAGGAGGTGGGGGTCCATTGCAGTTGGTAGGAATGAGCTGCTCACTCGCTCCTGGGAGTGGAAGCAGTTAAGAAGGTTGGCTGTCCCCACCTGATTCCCCACCACAGGCGACCCAAAGAGCGAGGGCCCAGCCCTTGAGGCAGTGCTCCCTCAGAGCATGCTTTCTGCAAGCAGAGGGCCTGGCAGGGGGCTGCTCGGGCTGCTGGGTGAGCACTGCCTAGGGCTCCAGTCCTGCCCCTCCTTCCCAGCAGGCTTGGTTCCTTGGTAGGTCACCTTTCATTCAAAGCATGCTTCCTTCCCAATAGAGTAAACGGACCAACCTGAAGAAGCCTAATTCCGAGCGGACGGGGCACGGCCTGAGAGTCCGGTTCAACCCCCTGGCGCTGCTCCTAGATGCTTCTCTGGAAGGAGAGTTTGACTTGGTGCAAAGGATCATCTACGAGGTGAGCTGAGCAGCCTGCGCTGCCCCGTGTGCTGCGGGGCTGGTGGCTCACATGCGCCCCATGTCCTAGGTGGAAGACCCCAGCAAGCCCAACGACGAAGGGATCACCCCACTGCACAATGCGGTCTGCGCCGGCCACCACCACATCGTGAAGTTCTTGCTGGACTTCGGGGTCAACGTGAACGCTGCTGATAGCGATGGCTGGTGAGGGCCCTGGGCAGGGGTCAAGAGATCCCCTCCGAACAGCCCAAAAGGGGAACGCCGTAGTCTAGAGTGTGGGGAAGTCCGCCGAGCCTCGCACCCCACAGCGTCCTTGCGGGTCCTCCCAGCCTTGGTTCTCTTGAGTATTCTGTTAAAGGTACCTGGTCATTAACATCGTAGGCTAAGCATTCTGCTGATTATTACTCCCTCTTCGTCTGTTTTAAGTAGCTAGATCAGCGGTATGAAAAGCAGTCTCCCAGCCCCGCTTTGGGTGGACTGGGTGGACTTGGTGGACGGTGAGGTTGTTTGCGAGGTTTGCATTTGCCTTCAGGGCCTGCTGCTGCTGTGCAGGCCCCCTGGGCCTCTGGTAGGTGTTATTGTGAACTTCAGGCCACTGTCCTGCTGAGTTTGAACATCTGTTTTTTTAAATTGTGGTAAAATATACATTACATTTACCATCATAGCCATTTTAAGGGACCTATCAGCGGTGTGAAGTATGTTCGTGGTGTTGTACAACGATCATGTATTCTATAGGCTGTTGCTTGGTCCACGCCCTGCCCCCTCATTTCAGAAATTTATATGTGGTCCCAAACAGTTTGTTAGTAGAAATCACGCCATTAGAAAGACAACTCACAGAAACTTGCAGGGCACTGCGGTGTGGCACAGCCCTGAGAGGTCTCTAGAAGGCTGCATCGCAGGAAGTGGCCAGTCTCAGGCAGTGCCACACAGCACCTTCACCTCTTGTCCCTTCCAGGACGCCGCTGCACTGCGCCGCCTCTTGCAACAGCGTGCACCTCTGCAAACAGCTAGTAGAGAGCGGCGCCGCCATTTTTGCCTCGACCATCAGCGATATTGAAACTGCTGCAGACAAGTGTGAAGAGATGGAGGAAGGCTACATCCAGTGTTCCCAGTTTTTATATGGTACGTGGGGGACTTGGAGTGCACCTCAGGTTCTTTTTCTGGACTGCAGTGGTGACGTGCACCACGGTGCTGCCTGGGCCGGGGAGAAGCCCCAAGTGCAACTTGGGGCAGCACAGTAAGTCTCATTAGAATGGAGGTCATGCTGTCACTTAGGCTCATTCCCAAAAACGTGTTTGAAAATCCGTGTTGTCAAGAAGTCTGCCAGATTGCTAAAAACCAAAAAGCCTTTCTCTGTCTTTGCACAGATGTTGCCCCTCTGGGCAGAGGAGGTGTGGGTGGCCAGGCAGTGCCTGTCTGTGTACTTCTGCTGGGATGCACCAGGACTTGAGGCAGGGCCAGAAGGAGGCTGTGAGGGCCGTGGGTGTCCCAGGGTCAGATCCCCATCCGGTGGTGACCATTGATGAGTGGCCATTTGATGAGTGAAGCTCATCGTGTCTTAATTAAAGTGCTTTAGCTAGGTTCAGAGATTCCAAGAGCTGGAACATCTCTATTCCGAGGGCTAAACAGTCACAGGTCAGCCGTTCTACACATAACTTGGGAACCTGTGGGCCCAGCCCTACGTTAGACCCTGGGGATGAAGTGATGAACAAAGACAGGCACCCCCTCCAGGCCCCAGCTCCCAGTGCGGAGGTGGCAGCAAGCCCTTGTAGGTCTGTGGTGGCGCTGGGGAGGCTGCAGTCACAGACACCTGTGTGGGAGGAGGGAGGTACCGGGCCGTCAGCACTTCTGGCTTTTCTTGGGATCCCGAAGGTGACTTCTGGGTATGAGATTGCTTGTTGTGGTTCGGTTGTGTGCAGCTCCTTCACTGCCATTTGTAAGTACTTTCTGCCGTGCAAGAGCAGTCAGGCAGCTGCTTTAGTCGTCGACTTTTGAAAGTTTGTTCTAGATGTGAGTTGTAAGTTTCACTTTTAGACATGCCTTTTGGAACAACACATCTTTGCTCCTGGACTTAAAACTTGAGTAGCAGTACTCTCTTGCTGGGACATCGAAAGGACTGTTGACATTAAGCAAAGGGCAGCAGCTGGGCCTGGGGAGGCATCAGGCAGCGTGGCCCTGGCTTCTGACCTTTCAACCATGGACATCCACTGGGCTGCCTGAGAACAGCAGCATGTCTGTTCTGGTCCTGGAACGGGGCTCTCTCCAGCCCGTTCTGTGTGGGACCCTGACCCTTTGTTCTCTTGTCCAGGGGTGCAGGAGAAGTTGGGCGTAATGAACAAAGGAGTGGTGTATGCTCTGTGGGCCTATGAGGCCCAGAACAGTGACGAGCTGTCCTTCCACGAGGGCGATGCCATCACCATACTAAGGCGCAAGGACGAAAGCGAGACTGAGTGGTGGTGGGCTCGCCTCGGGGACCAGGAGGGCTACGTGCCCAAAAACCTGCTGGGGGTAAGCACTCTGAGCCCTCTCCCGGGGTCTGACTTGACTGCTACAACTTCACTCCCAAGCTTATGTCCTGGGAAATCAGCTGTCCTTTTCTACCTGCTGTCAGCCAACACCGGGCATAGCATGGATCAGATCCTGCTGGGTGACCATGGGCAGGAGACGGCCTTTCTCCAAGCCTCAGCGCCCCCTCTGTAAACAGGCAGGCTTGCGGAGTTGGCACAAAGCTCTGGCAGAGCCTTGGAGAGCCCCCGGGCTCACAATCACATGTGGGAGCAGTGGGGGCGCCTGCTCTTGAGGAGGCCCGTGGGGAGGCCTGGACAAGGACTGCTCACAGTATGCCCTGTTCACGGGGAACTACAGCGAGCAGCCAGCCTCACCCCAACCAGAATTTTCTTCAGCTCAGAAAGTTCTTTAACCTGGATAAGGTGAGGAGCCTGCAGGTTGCTACCCGTATTGTATTTATAATTGCATCAGTCCTTTGGCAGAGCAGCTGCCTCTGCTCTCCTCTGCGTGCCTCGGTGGGGCTGGCAGATGCTACTTGCATTCCGCAAGCAATCCCTGAACACCAGGCACCTGCCAGGCACCAAGGGGAACCCCACAGTGAACGGGGGGCTTACAGTGCTGAGTTGGTACTCTGTGCTGAGAGATACAGAGGGATAGGGTATCCTGGGTTGGGGGCGCAACTTTTAAAGGGAGTAGGGAGGGTCTCAGTAGGAGGGTGACAGTCCAGCTTCTGCCCGGAGGAGGAGCTAGCCGTGGGCTATCTGGGAGGAGCAGGAAGTGGGGAGCCACAGAGGCCCAGGGAAGCCTGGTACCTGGACCCCGATTCCTGCTCAGTATGTCCTAACTCGTTTCCATCTCTTCCCAGCTGTATCCCCGGATCAAACCCCGACAGCGAACGCTCGCCTGAACTGCCCACTGGAGCACCCACCGCACAGGCTCGCCAGCGACGAGGAGCCACTGGAGAGATCGTTCTGCTGTTTCCCCAGGAAAGCTGAAGCCAGAAATGGTTTTAATGGTGCTCACTTTAGCAGACAGTGTCCAAAATGTGAAATTGCTGCAGTTTCTAGGTGAGGCCCTTTCTCCAGTTTGCCCATAACTGGGAGAGGTACTTTCACCTCTGAGAAGACTGAATTTTGCCAATTACTATAAATCTAAATAAATACCCAGCTTTCTAAACAACTGCCCCTGTTGCCAATAAGAAGCCCTATGATACCCCTAGTTGGTTGCCAATGAAGACAAATGCCCTGACTGACTTGGCCCCAAGGCCGTTCCTCGTTCTTGATGTCATCCCACCCCCCAATAGTGAAAACTTACAGCTGCCATGAGGTGCGCCCCCCGCTACAGCCCCACCCTCCTGTTACTGGGCATCACAGACACCCACCATCCTCTCACCCTCACCACACGCGTTTCTTCCCCTTGTGACCAAAGGAGCCCCTGTATGGAAACTCCTACCCAGTGGTGGTGCCTGGTGTGTGTGTCCTGGCGTGGGTGCTCCACTTCCTGTTCCGGATGTTGGTCTAGGTCACCTACAGGCTGATGGCGCTGAGCTGGACTTCCATGCCCTGGGCACAAGGGCCCTTGAGACCAGGTGATGCTGTCAGGAGCCTCAACACAGCACTGCCTTTTCTGTGGCCTCTTGCTGCCCAGGTGTGGTTCTTACCCCTCACAACGTGGACGTGCTGTGCTCTGAGTGCAGGCAGACCCTGCAGCCCACGGGCCAGGAGGCTGAGGGTGGTCAGCGGGGGTGGGGTGGACATGGGGAAGCCTGCGCGTCAGGAGGGGCAGCTGTGGGGCAGAAGGGCCAGGGGCCCAGCCTCCCCAGTCCGGCCAGCTGTGATGCAATAACCTTTGCCCCAGGTCCAGACTGAAAGCAAGTAAGGCACTTCCCTGAAGTCTGAACTGTACACACAGGCTTTTATATACCAGAAGTATTTTTTGACTAGACCATTTAAAACTACCAGAATGACAGACATTGGAAATGTTGTTTTCTCATTAAAATCCAGGCCCTTAGCCTTTATTTTCCATGCACGAGTCTTGTGTATAATTTATGTATAAATATGTGTATAGCTCTGTTGCTGTAGTTGATCACCTAATTTAAGCATTGCTTGTACACAGTGTGGTGATGAAAGTGAACACCCTTGTGGGGCAGCCTCTGCTGCTGGAAGCAATTGCTGTGTCCCGACACCGCTGCCACGTGTCACTGTGCACAATAAACGCTGTCTCCCACTGCGGCTGCGCGTCTTGTGTTCTGGAGCCAGAGTCGTAGGGGAAAGCTCAGGGTATCTGGACACAGTGAGGCAAGGCCTGGTCCATATTTTCAAAATAGGTTTTAATCATAAACTTTATATACAAATTGTTGTACAATTATTTTAATAAAGTGAAATGGTAAGTGAAAAGTACAAAACAAACACAAAGCTGGCTCCTTCCCCTTAGTGACGTATCAAAGGTTTGTTCATAGCCCAAAATTAGTGACATGGTAAATGGACAGCCTGTGAAATGGGCTCAGGCAGACTGTACACTGGTGTATTAGAAACCGGGCAGGCTCCAGTACAAATCCGGCCCGAGTTACCACTGCTCAAATCATTTCTGTGAAAGAATTAATGAGACATTGAGGGGCCAGAACCTTCTAGTAAACGTGGGCACTCATAAAAACATGGCATATATTATGCTAAAAATAGTTTAGCAGTAGTGTATCTCTCCCACCCCCAATTAAGTATCAACAATACACAAATTCTAAAGCGTGAAGCTGTTTAGAGCATTAATAAACTGTGTAAATATTGCACTAGGTAAGCGAACACTTCTGTTTCTCCAGATACTTGAATTGCATTTCCCAGTACTTGTAGGATTAGTTGTCTGTGCGTACACAGAGAGCAGGCTCGGCTCTTCTATGCTGACTCTCCATCCCACGTGGAGTTACTGGTCCCGAGATTCGTAGAGGAGCTTGACAGCCTATGAGGTGACCAGAAATAAACACGGAGGATGATTGGTCCTGTACTGGCTGGAGCTGGTGTGGGGACCCCGAGCTGGGCAGGAGGCAGATCTTCCCCTGGGAAGGAGGGGCTGTGCCCTAAGCAGAAGGGCCCAGCCTCCCAGGTCCCTGCCCACAGTACCTTGTGCATGGCCGCCAGCCATGCTGTTGACTGCCTCCTGCTGGCATTGGCGTCCTCCCCAGCTGTCAGCTTCAGCTGGGTCACAGCCTCCACCCCTGGTGCTGTGTACTGCAGGGACATGCCTGTGGCCCGTGCGTTGCCTCCTGGAGGAGGGAAACAAGGTAAGAAGGCCCAAAGGGGACCCTGAGCACCCAGGATGCCACCGGCCCTGAAGTGGTGGTGGCCAGGGTGCCTCCTTCCCAACCCTCATGCTGGTCTAGGAGAAGCCTGGTGGCAGAGGCCTGTGCTTGGGAGGCACCCAGTGAACGCAAGCTCCTCAGGCCTTCTGGTAGATAACCCCAAGTTCACAGGATAGGAAAGGGACTGAGTCACCCAGCCTGGTGCCCTCCATGGCCTGGGACAGACAAATTGCACCACATCCCTCAGGGCCAAGTGAGAGAGACACTCCTGTCATCAGGAAACCCCAACAAGGCTGGCTGCATCCAAGCACTGGTCACACCCATCTGTAGCCAGGGCTGGTGGAAGCAGGGCCTGCACCAGTACAGAGGCCAGGCGGTCAAAGCCACCCCACTACTAAGAACCAGCGTCAAAGCTGAGGGGACAGAGGATGCAAGCAAGGCCTAGCACCAGAGAAGTGCCACATCCTGGGTCACCGACCTAAGGAGCCGACACCCCACCCTGGGACATGAGCTCCGGCAAAGATGCCGTGGAGGGGAGTCAGCCTCCTAGGACAATGCCCATCTTTGGACCGTGACCAGCTGCTCCATTGATGACGACTTGATTCCAACACCTGACAGGACCAAGCGCTCAAGGATTAGACGGCTCTTCACAGTCACAAAAGTCAGGTGGAGACTAAGCCTCACAGTGAACTTCACCTACAGCTTTTCTACTTCGTGACTTCCGTTTTCCAGAAAACTCCATCTTGAGCAGTAATCCACCTCATGGAAGATTCCCTCAATCAGACACAAGATCTCTGAGTTAAAACTGAGGGCCTGACTCTCCCACAAGCCAGCGGAGTGAGCGCCACAACTGCAGATGGGGGGGCGTGCTCTGCTTGGGAGAGACCTCACCAACTGTGAGTGGGCAACACGACTGTCGAGTGCTGTACCACCTAAGGCCAGGAAGGCTATCCAAACTAACTTTTCACAAGCCACTCTGCGTGTCAGTCCTTGCAGGTCCCCACCAGTGCTCTGGAGCAGGCTAACTACGGCTCTGCCCAACATCTGCTTTTGTACGTCAAGTTTATTGGCCCACAGCCACGGCCGTGTTTCCGTACCGCCGCCGGCCGCTTTCACGGTATGCAGGAGTCCACGTGGCGGGCAAAGCTCAATAGAGTTACTGCCTGGCCCTCGACAGAAAAAATGTGCGCCCTGCTGTAAGGTCGCAGGCTGGCGGGTAGGCTCCTCTGGCTGCCTTCAGCTCGAGGAACTGTTCCAATGCCCCCAAGCCCATGCGAAGACGGACCTGGGGTTTTAGAGGTTCCAGAAAACTTGGCAGAGCAGTGCTCACTGCATCCCCAACACCGCCACGAGGGAGTGTACGCTGCCAGAAGCCCCAGGGAACTGCCAAGGAAGGCGTGCCTGCAACCAGAGGCTTCACCAGGCCAGCTGGAGTGGCAGCCTTCTCCCTGGCCTTGGGAGGGGCTGCGGCAAGGCACATTCCTGAGCCTCAGACTCCCCAGGAGGGGGCAGGCAGATGGGCACCCAGGCTGACCTCCAGCTTGTCCAGACCCTGCCCTTGGTACCAGGGCATCTGCAACTCTCAGCCTGCCAGAGGCAACCAGCTTGTCACCGTGCACACCCCTGTGCTCAGGGAACAGAGGTGGCGAAACACTGCCCTGGCCCTCTGACCTCATCATTCAGAGGGCTCAGTCAGAAGCGCGGAGAGGCTCCCAGAAGAGCACAGGGAGCCGGGCTGTGAAGGGGCAGGAATCTGTTGGGAGAAGGGCCACTGCCCGCTCCACACTCCCCGATGCCCTCCAGACTCAGTCTGCTCAGGGCCGGAAGATACAAGAAGTTACGAAATACTGGGTGACGCTTCCCCCCTTGGGATAGAAGAACTGAGCAGAATAAATACATCTCTTCTGCTGGGATATTTTCATTTATGCTTTATGTACGCACATCTTGGACCCAGCCCTCTTTTAAGTCGGCCAAAAGAAGTGCACGTGTGTTTCACAGAGAACCTTGGCATGGATCACCCCCACAGACAGAAGCAGGACGTCAAGGGGAGGCGCGGGGCCCACAGCATGGTGGGGAGAGTGCTGAGGAGCGTGTGGCTGACCTTCTGAGCCGGGCTGGCTCCCCAGGAGGCTGGCGTAAGTGTGAATGTCTTTTTCTACGTCAAGAAGGTAGGCAGACAGGAGAGAAGAAAATCAAGAGCCAGTCAGGAAAGAGAAAGCAAGACGGGTTACGTCACATGGGTTCAGCACACTTCATACAATACGGACACAAACTCCGCTTCAGTGGAAAGACAGCTGCTGAAGCGCAGAAGTTTACTTGGAAAAACACAGACTGGGCTAACTGCTCTGGTAGCTCATAAGGAAATGTAAAAGAATTTTGTTTCCACAGACACCTGCCAGGAAGGCTGAGTGCTGGTTCCCAACTGGCCCCCACTTCAGGCCCCTCTGGGAATCTGGGTGATGCTGACTGCGTCTGGCAGCAGCAGGTCTGAGTCCAAGCATGAATAAAATGGCACAGAAGGGCATTTATACAACATGTTGAGGCAAACCTTCCTTCGTCATTTTACCTGTTAAGCCCCCATTCACCTGCTGAGTTCCTAAAGCCACTTACGCAGGACAAGCCCACAGAGGAGGACAGGCAGGCATCTCAGAGACTGCCAACAGCCTGAGCAGGATGACTCAACAGACCCTGTGCTCACTGCTGCCGCATTATCCCAAAAGTCACCCACGCTGGCACCAAATCTCCTGCTTAGTAAAGGGCACGCTGCGTTTACCTCCAGGAGGAAAGCCTTCCGTGAGAATCTGCACAGTTGAAATGTGTGCGATTTCAATCTCGTAGCGGCTGTCTCCATCCAGAATCAAGTATCTGTCAGAAAAAAGGGCGTCCAAACTACGTTCCTCCAGGACTCAATATGACAAAGCTGTCAGTGCCAAGCAGCATCTGCCTCTCACCTCTGGTTGTTGGAAAGACGACAAACCATCGTTTCTGATTTCTCTGGGTTTCCAAAAGTTACGAGGAAGGTGGCTCCTTGGGATAAAAAAACAAACCTGAGAACACAGTTCCTTTCCCCCCTCGATCTTCCCCGGCCAGGCCAGGCCAGCTGCCCGGGGAGATGCACACGCACAGAGCATGAAATGAAAACAAGCAAGAGCTCTGCCGCACGGGTCCCGCAGTGAGGCAGCAAGGCCAAGGTGGAGTGAGGGTGGAAAAGGCACGACAAAAGGCGCTGTGAGAGAGACTTCCGCTTACCTTGAAAGCCCTAGTGACTTGACATCCTGCACAGAAAGGTGCAGCAGAATCCACCCCAAGGGGCCGATCAAAGAGCACTCACCCCTCCACCCACACACTCGAGGAGCGCCCAGGACAGGACCAGGATGATAGAGAGAAGGCACATAACACCCGCCTGGCCCGAGAGGCACAACTCTCGCCCTCCTGCCAGGAGGAGACTGCAGGGTCAGGCTTGCGGGAAAGGTGGGAGGAGCAAGGACCACAGCAGGCCCTGGGGAGGAGGGGTGCTCAGTTCTCAGAAGCTCCTGGGGGGCAGGCCCTTAGTCCCTGGAGAGCTCCTCCCCCTGTGCCACACATGCCCCAAGATGGTGGGGTGGAAGATTCTGCCTGCTGCTGGCCCTGTCCTCTGGGGGCCGCATCACAGCGCTCTGTGTAAGCACTGCACCCTGCCCGGGCCCAAGGCACCCCCACCCAAAAGACATCCCAACTACTGGTCCCAAGCCCAGTGAAGTCAGACCGACATTTTAGGTGACGTTTCCATCTCTGCAGAGAAGAGCTGGCTCTGTACCTGCTTCTAAAGGAGTCCAGAAGAGAGGGAGGGCGCGGTGACATGTCACAGAAAAGTGGCCACCGCTCTTGCAGCCCAGCGCATCAACACCAACATCAAGGACAGGGTGTCTCAGGCAGGACACAGCTGCTTACCGCTCAGGAGCA